GAGTTCTGATGGGCACCTCTGGAAAGATCTCGTCTTGACCATGTCCTCTGGTAATGCTGATTGGAGCATTTAGACAGTATGTCTCTAGAGTAAATCCTCTAAGGAAGATGATATTCTGTCTCACTTGAGCACTGGTGGTGGGACCATTCTGGTAAATCCCCCAGGAGTGATTTTCAAGCTTATTCAATTTTTATATTCTTTGGCACTGAGACAATTAGGGAAAAGATTTTGTTTGAAGTGTTTCACCATCCCGGCTCACCCTAATTGTTTTCTGTTGTGGCTGTCAGTTTATTTAGACTAAGCTCCTCCCCAACCAGCACACCGATTTAATCAATGCCTAGCCTAACCACGCCATCTAAATGTCTTGGTCTTTCCCCTAACCTTGAGATACTATTTAAGTTCACGCCTAAAGAAAGAAACATTTTGCATTTAGTAGAGGGACATGGGTGGAGGAAACTTTACAAACCCTGTCGCCCTCATGGCTTCAAACAAAAAAATGGTTCTTTCAATAAAGAAGTTTCATCGCAAAGGCCCGTGGTCAGTCACCTGTCAAATCTCAGACTTAGAGCTGGGCTTCCACAGGGACATTTAAATCCCCTCCCCTCCTACTGACTCAGTCAGTCATTTCCTCACCCTGAAAAGGACTATCAGGATTTGTGTCGGCATTTCTGGTTCTGTTCCTGACACCTAGTGAAATTAGCAGCCATAAATGAGATAAACGCTGGGGTTAGGGAGTTTTGTTTGCTTGCTTTCTGTTGCCACTGGAAATATTTGGAAAACATCAGGACAAGGTGTGCCTCTCTCTCCCTAGGCATCTACTGGGAAGAAAGTAAAGCCATTAATTAGCACCATGCCCTTTTGGATGGAACTAATATCATCCAGGAAGAGAGAGGAGTGTGGTGTCAGGGTTCCGTGGGAAAATCAAACCAGTGGTGGGATTTACAGATATTGTCAGCTGAGTGTTACGGGGCAGCAGGTGTAAGTAAGCCCTGGTAGATGTTAATACCTCATTAACGGCGCAAGGATGCATCCTGTAGTGGTCGCATCGGGGATCAAAAAAGACAAACGAGAAAGCTAAAGGAAGGGAGATCTTGCCGGTAGGGTTTTGTTTTCCTCCTTTTGCTCAGCAAGCATCATCTAACGCGGTTATTCACTTGCAGCTGCTGAAGGTCTCTGCTTGTCTTTCCTGTCTACCGAAAAGCACAGTAAGTTCCTTTGCTAGCAGGTAGGCAGTAGAGGTGAGAATTGAATTGATCGCGAGTGCTCCGAGAAATTGACCCTGGGGTCGTCTTCCCTTAAATTGGGTTCCACACACAAAGTTTCTTTTCTTCCCTGGGTCCTGCCTACTTCCCAGCAGCAGAATTGAGTTGGGGGGGGGGGGGCTGTAATTATTTTTAAAGGAATTCTTAGGCACCAGGGTTGACTCTCCCTCTGTACCCTTAATCAAAATAGAGACCTTTTGTTACTGACGGTAGTTAATTAAAGGACTGGCGTCTATACCGCTGTGGTGGGCCTCTGGCTTGTTTATATTTTAAAATGAGGTCCGTGCCTGACGTACATGAAAAGAAGGGACAAGAGCTGCTGTGGGGTTACCAACTGTCCTGAACATCAGAACAGAACAGAAGAACAGAATTTTCTGTTTACCTTTGTTATTTCTCTGCCTCCTGTTCCTCCCGTGTCTCCTGTTCCCCTCCCCTTCCTCGTTTCCCCTTACAGTTTTCTCCTCTTCCTCTCCCTCCTCCTACTCCACTCTTTCGCACACCCTGCAATGGAAAACCATAGGTTCCTTTTAAAAAAAAAAATCTCAAGGCATAACCTGTAGGTTTCACAATGCTGGGATCTCACGCTGCACTAAATGAGAGGAAGCGCCCGCTGGCCACAGGTTCAGACCTTCTCTGTTCTGCTCCTGGAGGGAAGCAGAGAGACCAGAACCTCCTGTCCCAATGCTGACCTCTGTGAGCTAAGAGCTGCTTTCTCTCCGATGCTCCTGTGGCTAGCTCAAGCTCTGTCTGATGCCCACAGGCTGTTTTCTTATTATTTTCTTAATGCCTTGTTCTCCTCCTGCTCCTCTACCTCCTCCTCCTGCAGTTTCTTCCTTTAAATCTTTAACAGCTTCTTGTCCTTACCTAGTAGAATTTAAAAAAAAAAATGCATGGGCTGTCACCAATTTTCTCTGGTGCTTTTGGAGATTTTGCCCTGCAGTTGAGTTTGCACTCCTGGAGTGGATAGGGGAGAAGAGGGACACTGGGTTCCTGTGCAGTGAGTGAGGAGCTGAGTGTGCTACCCTGCCTGAGTCTTGAGGGCTCGCAGCTGCCCTTCTCTCCAGATGGCCACAGAAAGCCTCTCCGTGAAAATCACCTGCTCTGTAGCAGCTCGCTCTTTACCCAGACTCCCTGCCTCTCTGCCTGCTCAGCGTCCTGCTGGCTCCGTGGAGCCCCACCAGAATGTTCATCCTGATGGTTTCAAAGCCAGGCCTGACTGCACTGCGTGTCATAAGTGAAAATGTAGCGTTTTCCAAACATTCTAGTCTTCAAGGATAGTCATTTGAAGTGTGACGTGTTTTTTTTTTTCTTAGCTCTTCTCTTCGCTTGGTACCATCTTATGAGATCCTAGTTGAACAGCACAAAAAACGGCACGCAGGAATGGAGTGTGGCCTAGTCCCAACCCGTCCCTTCAGGTCTGTGGGAAAAGAATGCACACAGCTCCCAAAGCAGGCTTGTAGGGTTTGACCCGGGAGTTTCAGCCTTAGTCCTGGAAGAAGAGGACACCCAGCCTCCTGCCCAAGAGGAGGAGGGTTCAGAGACAATCCTGCAGTGCCATTTGCTTGCAGGGAAGGGGAAAGGAAGGAAGAGCCTGTTTCCTCTATTTCCTTTGAGTCTACCTTTCATTTGAAACCAGCTGCCACCATCCTGCTGAAGCACTGGCTAGAAGGCAGGGTCGGGGTGCCATTCCTGCAAGGAGGTTGTGCCTGTCTCTGCTTAACGTTTTATTTAATTTGTTAAGCTCCATCTTATTTTTGTTGTTGTTGTTCTCTGTGTGTGTACACGTTTGGATTTGTGCATGGGGGTGCTGGTACCTAAAGAGGGCAGAACGGGCCGTCAGCCAGATCCCCCAGAACTGGAATTACAGGTGGTGATGAATCCTCTGACTTACATTGGAACCCAACTCAGGTCCCCTGGAAGAGCGGTACGTGCTCCTAAACACCAAGCCATCTCTCCAGCCTCTCTGCTCAGCCAGCATTTTATAGTATCAGACCTATCTTCACCAAGACCATTTTCTTCCACAATAAAACAAAAACAGGCATCTTGCCACCATTCCCACAGATAATGGGTGAGAGCCTCACTTTTGGAAGGAGAAGAGGCCAGGCCGTGAGAGCTCCCTGTCAATTCATCAGGCATTCCCTGCAGAGTGGTTGACAGGACAACCATTCTGGGAAGGCAACTTTTACTGTTTCTTTAAAATTTAACTGGGATCAGGTCATAGTGTACTTTCCCTGGCTTCTCTCCTCACCTCTTCTTTCGTTTTATCTCCACCACCCCCTCTTTTTATTCCCACCCCACTTTTTTTTTTTTCCTGCCACAAGCTGCAACAGAGATTCTTGCCGTTGATAATCAAAGTTTGATATCGTTAAATTAAACTGTGCAAAACTGACTTTGGGGTTTTGCTCATGAAATAAACATTTGAAAAATAGTGTCTGGCGAGAAGGCTTGCACCGTGGCTGCGAAACCAGATTCATGTACGCAGAATATATATGTGTATGGTCTGTTTCGGAGCCTGTTAAAGCTGGTCCTCAAAAAGTATCTTCATAGAGCTAGGCGGCTTCTATACTTTCACCCATGAGGCTATCGTGACTAGAACATAAGTACATTGAAATTAATGACATTATAATTGGTGGTCTAAAATGCCACTTGTCATTCGGATTACTTTATTATATTTCGTTTCAATTATGGCAGTTGTGCATCAAAGAGTCAGAGTACGTAGCTAGAATTTTTCTGTCCAGAAGCTATAGCACGCCTAAGCTTGGAAGCCTTGTTTTCCCCCTTCTCCCTAACAAGGAAGCTCATTTAGAGAGAAATGTTTATGTGAAGTGCTTGTCGGCTGGCATTTTTACTGGTCTACTAACCCAAAGGTAAAATATAAAGCCGTGTCTTTTCCTCGCTGGCTTGTTGTGAGTAGAAGGGTCCCTCCCTTGTTAGCTTGATAAATAATCTCACTAGGGGGACTCGGCTGTGTTTTTATGCTTGCTGTCTATTTTCTGCTTCCCGCAAATAAATTCCTGTACTCAGAGAGTACTAAAACTCCAAACACGTGGGATTTGCCCATTTTACTGCTGCTCTCCTGAAATATTTATTCGATCTGGTGTTTTTAATTAATTTTTTAAAGGAGAAGAAAAAGGCGTGATTAACATCAAACCAAAAACAAGTATTCATCTGTTTTGGGGGGGACCCACTGGGTTTATACCTGGAAAGGCAGATGTTTTGAAAGGCTTTGTATGTTAAACTCTCTGATTTGTCGGGTTAAAGGCAAGTGTTACTGACTGGAGTTTTCTCATGACATATTTCCCCGTCTGTCTTTCCAGATTTAATTATTACGCTGTTAATGGGAGAAATAAATAGGCATAGGAGTCTATCTAGGAGCGAGACAGTGGACAATTAGCATCTGTACGCACATTTGGAGAACGAAACTGGTGTGAGAGTGAAAGTGAGCTGGTGTCGGTGTTGTTCCACTCAAGTCCGGGGTAATTTAATCTTAGGGTTTATTAACACCAAGAAGAGCTTGGTGCAGCACAAGCCTCAACAAAGATACCCCAAAACTATTGCAATAAAATAAAGTACAAATCAACACATTTCTGTAAATGACCAGAACGCTAAACACAACGCATCGTAGGTTCACGGTGCAAGGCTGAATGCCAGATGGGATGAGAGTTCTGGTTGTTAGGGAAACAATCATGTGACATTAATGCCGGATGACTTCATTCACTCATCTTTTCTTGTTTTCAGAGAAGACAGTCTGCTTATTCGCCCCCTTGTTGCGTGCACACAAGCAAGGTTTTGTTTTCTGAGATTGGAAACTATTTTTTACCAAGGTACCTTTGGACACACTTGCACCCAGGATGTCAGTGCATGTGACGAGCATCTTGGAGCCTGAAGCACCTGAGCAGGGGGTTCTCTGGAGCTCTCCCTTTCAAAGAAGAAGAAAATACACAGAAGGGGCCCTCCATGAGTACCCCGGCAGGCATGCGTGGAGATGGACCGTCATGATACGTAGGACCTTATTTTCTTAAGCAGACACTGTGTGATTTAACTTAAGACATTTCGCTTTGAACTGCTTTAGCTACAGAGATTATGAGAAAAAATTTTAAAAATGCATCCTTCAAGAACCAGTGACATTGAACATGTGTTAGGGCCACATGGAAGGCCACACCTGTTTGTCGGAGTTAGAATAAACATCCGTGCACTCAAACATCCCACCCAGCCACCAACAGACTTGAAGGATGTGAGGAGAAGCTGCTGGGGAACAGCGGTCTCCCAGGAGACAGAACCGATGTCGTCTTCAGCCCTTTAAACAAGTCCAGCAGCAGAAACTTGCGTCCCCTATAAAGAAGTGGAGGGGACTGGGCACAAAGCAATGTAGGGGCCAGGCGACCAGTTAGTACTATCTTGCTTAGGTGTTTACCATGCCACTTCCTCCCCAGTTAGTCTGTCCCCAACCTTCCTGGGTCACACACTCCAGCCTTTAAGCCTCAGTTTGTACTGTAAGAACCCAAGCATCCTCTCCGTGGCCTCTTTTCCTGAGCAGGATGGAGTGTGGCTCAGAGGAAAGGACACATAACATGATTAGTATCTGGAGGTCCAGAGCCGTGACTTCTCATGGCCTTGGCCCCCAAGGACCCTTGTTGGTTTCCAAACAAATGATTCTGTATCTTGATTTTAGGAAATAATAGAAAAGGCCTTTCCGCTCAAAAAATAATGCTCACCATTCCAGCCGCGGTTTGAAATTGATGACATTCAATTGAAATTGGGACGTAATTGATGACACATCTCCTTAAAATTCTATAATGTGTAAGGAGTCACTCAGGACCCTGCTGGGCACTGAAGATAAATCCGTGTTGGTTAAGCACGCCAACGAAAGCCCTGTTGAATACAAGTTGTCAGAGAAATCGGCACTGGTACTGGAAAGAATACAATTTCCACATCTTGAAGATAGGAATTGTCCCTCAAAGAGGAGCATAAAGGATTAAATATGGTAATATATGTAAAGCGCTTGGATTAAATATGTTAATGTATGTAAAACACCTGCACTGGGTAAACACCCCCACCATGTTCAGCTTGGACAATGTTACACGGGATGAAATTCTGACCTTGACACTTAACAAGCCTTGGTTTACATCAGAATGACTTTGTGATTACAGTATCGAACTGCCCCCCCAACCCCCCTTTGCTTTAAAATAAACAATTTCAAAATCAGAAAACGGAGGTTGGTGTAGAACAATAGCTTATGGCTATCCTTTTATTAAAAACCCCATCACCCCTAAAAATATAAAATCATTGCGCTTTGGGGATCTCTCTGCTCAAATAATTTAGGAAAATTGTGTGTTAAACATTTAATATTGCTGTCATCCATCTCCGAGCTTTTATATGCTAATATGTATGCCCCGTATACATATTATACTAACACAGATGGCATGCAGTATTTTCCAAACTTGTGCGAACATGGACCCTGATTTTTAAACAACCATTTCCTGTAAATAGCATTGTGCTGGGGCAATTTTGGAAAAAGAAATGATGATTGCCTAAAGTATTAAAGTCCTGACATTTCTTTCATTGAGCACTAAAGAGCCCTTTTATTAATTTTCCCTGGTGAAAACCTTGTCCTCAGTGATTCATTTGCATTCCGTGTGTTCATTTTGCTCATCAGCCCAGAACAATTGTATATGATCCCGTCTGCAGTGTATACTCCAGGAGGGGAAACTATGATGTGGGGGTAAATCCGATAGGGTCGTTCAATAATGAGTTCCAGGAGTTGCCCCACCTTCCTGGGCTCCCCACGAGATCTCGGGAGTTCAGTTTGGGATCCTTTGCTTGTTTAGCACACCCAGAGGCCTTGTTTAACTTGGCTTAGCCTTTTGTGACTCGAGGAGCCATCCAAGGGACTCCAGGCTTCTGCATGGAATACATAATTTCCTAGGGTTCTGGCCAGAAAGTCCGTGGCTGTGAAAGCTGCCTTCAGTTTAGGGTTCCTTTATTTAAAAGATGGAGATATCTCCTGCAACGTGAATACAAGATGGCTTGGGTGAGAACTGGGCGTGAAGGTTCACTCTCCTCTGACCCTCTTCTTAGTGCGTCTGCCTTGGGGAACATATGGATCCCACCTTCACCCTCAAGCTCACCCCAACTATGTCCTTTGTTCTAAAGGCCCCATCAGAGCTTAGCTGGACACTATCAGCTCCCCGATTCAAGAAGAGAACTGATTGGCTCATCTAACGCTGGATGAGCAGTAGCTAAAAGAGGGTCTTTAGGGCCAGCTTCTTACTTAATCAGATTTTTTTGAGATACAGATTAGATGAGGTTAACACAGTGTTCAGGTCCCAGTATGAGAGATTAAAATTAGTACTCAGTACATGTACACCGGCTTTGGAGGCATGGGTGAAAGGGCTTGGGCACAAGCAGGTCTCTGAATCTAGAAGACGGAGTGTCAGTCCCGGATGTTCCTAGAAGGGAGTGGGGCTTTCGAAACATTAATGTCCCACCTCACACGTCAATTAAATCAGAACCTCTAGGAGTGGGTGTGAGCTCAGGCACCAGTGGTTTTTTTTTTTTTTTTTCTCTAAACAATTCCAAGGCATTCTAGTATGGAAAGGGGAATGAGGAGTCCTGGAGAAGAATGCAGGGGGCACCAGCATCTATAGAAAATGCAGAGAGCCCAGCAGCCCCTGGCAAAGCTCCCACATTCTTGTCCTTCTGACGAGTCAGCATCTCCCAGGTCCAGTTTCAGATGAGGAAGGCAGAACAATCGCTTTGTGTTCCCCACTCCATCTGGCCTCCTCAGGCCTTTAGAAACATCAACTCTATTCATGATGAGCAAGGCCAATGCAGTCAGATAAGGTCCCTCGGGGAAAGCAGACTAGGGCTGGAAGCCTCCAATTTAAACCTGACTTGGCCAGAGCATAGCTCCAGGATGTAGGTGGGTCCCATTCCCCTGACTGACTTTTGGGATCACATGTCACCAAATTTTCTTTAAAAAGAAATGAAGAAAGAAAAGGAAGGAAAGAATGAAAAGAAGGAAGGATGAGGGGATGTGATTGACCTAGGAGCCAAGGAAGGTTATGCAATCAGCTAGGCACCTAGCAGTTCACAAATTTTGCAGTGAATTGAAGATAGAGGATTTGAACCAGTGGAATGGTAAACTTTTTACACGGAAATGCTTTTACAAAATGATCTGCGCAGAAGAGAAAATTCTTATTCACTGATTAAATTAAAAATAAAGATGCATTCTCAACTTATTTGTACCAGCTTTTGCAGACACCAGTGACACCTATCGTGTCTGTCATCATTTTAAGAGGCACTTAAGTGTCTAGTGGGGACCACTGTGCAAGCAAGTCCAAGGAGAATGGACTTGGATTAACCAAAATGTTTGACCACATGCTGCCAGGCTCCTTAATTCTCTATTGAGGACAGATACACACGTGTGCTTGTGCTTGCACACACACATGCACACACAGAGAGAGAGAGAGAGAGAGAGAGAGAGAGAGAGAGAGAGAGAGAGAGAGCTATGTTGAAGATACTCATTGCTCTACCTTGTAAGAAGATGGGCCTGTAAAAATCTCCCCTACTCTTGGATGCGGAGATCACGTGAGAGGGAAGTCCATACCTTACACATTCTTGTGTTCGACACAACCCTATGCAATGGTGCATCGGGCACACACGGACCACAGCTCAGAGCTCTTCGAGCAAAGCACAGATCTCCCTGAATAAGCCATTGGCTAACCAAACAAGCACACAGATGTGTGATATCAGCCCTTAGATGTTTGCGGAAAGTCCAAGATGGCATCTTTGCAATCTGCTAAAACCTAGAGAGCATCCTAACCCTCTTCTAACTTTTCAAAAGTCCCCTGACCTGGCAACTGCCTGTGTGTTTTGTGGAGAAAGTTTTCTTACCTGGACAACACACTGAATGTCCTTTATTTGTATTTATGAATTTAATTTAGCTAGTTAGCCTGGTCTCTGCCTCTTTAGCACTGACATCACAGTGTGTGCCACTACACCTGTTGTTCTTGTTGTTGTTGTTGTCTTTGCAAGGCAAACACATTACCAACCCAGCGCCCCCCCAGCAGGTGATTTCTTTTAGCGATCTATTGACAAAGAACTTTTTATTTCGACTGTGTGGCCATCAGAAATGTACATTTCAAGTATTTTTAGTATTGAATTAGACAAACAGAGGGTGCTGTTTCTGTACCGGAAAACGGACGTACTGTTGGAGATTCATCTAGAACAAGCAAAGGGCTTGGGCATGTGTGTGTGGACCTGCAGAGGACCTATGAGGAAGGAATCATTGTCTCCAGCGCAGTCCAGGAGAAGGAGGCAGTGCTGCGCTCAAGAAGGAATTGGCAGGTCAGCCAGGAAATAAATGTGGTGAACGACTACAAAGCAGGAGAGAGGAAGGAAAAAAGGAAGGAAGGAAGGAAGGAAGGAAGGAAGGGAGGGAGGGAGGGAGGGAGGGAGGGAGGGAGGGAGGGAGGGAGGGAGGAAGGAAGGAAGGAAGGAAGGAAGGAAGGAAGGAAGGAAGGAAGGAAGGAAGGTGGCAGGAGACCTGGACTATTGCGAGCATCCCTCCTCTCTGTTTTCACCTAGAACTCATTCCCAAGTGGCAACCCATCTAGGCAGCCCACCTTCTTGTCTGCTGACTTTGCTCCACACCTTTTCACCAGGTAAAGGAGCCCTTGTGCGCTCAGGGCCAGTGCTCTGTCGCTCTTTTCTGTACTGTCTGCCTTGTCACGGTATACAGTATTGAGGAGAAGAACAGGAGGGATGTTACTTCAAAGAACTATGTGGGGATTTGGTCACGTGTCTGCCATTAACCTCAATCGCTGATGCTTGGGCAAAAATGCCTGGCACGTTCTTACACGCTTCTCTTTGAATACCATCCCCTCTGGGGTTGCTACCAGCCTCCCCTCCACTGATACAGGATTTGGGGGCTTTGAAGTCAGTTGTGGGAATTTCACTGCTTTCTTTGACTCTAGCAAATTGCTCCAAAATGCTACAAATGTAGAAAAGACTAAGAAAGCTTTAACTGCAGCTTAGAGATGGAATCCCCTTAAGCCATTGATAGAAAAATGTGTTTCTTCTTTCAGTTTTTAATTTGTGAGTTATGTCTTAAAATATAGCAATGCAGTCTTAGTCTTCCCCTAGGTGGAGAAAAGAGAGAACGGAGGGGAAGGTGGTGAGCAAAAAGAAGGGTTGGCAGCCATGATTATTTGACCTTCTTGCCTTTAGTGGAAACCTCTGAATGGAGGGGAGACTGCCTACAAAAAAATCGTAGACAAGAACAACGTGGGGTAGGCACATTCCCAGCGTCCATTAAGATGTGAGTAACAGCTGAGACAAGTGCACAGTGCCCAGTGCCCAGTTCACAGGCAGCAGTGGAGGACACGGAGGGGAGGGGAGCCAGAGGATTGTGTTCCTTAGCATACTTCAAACTTGTCTTAGCTGTTTCCCTCACGGGGTGGATGCAACCGGGCTCTACTGCATTTCTTTTTGAGAAATCCCTCCAAGTTATTTTAGTCTGGTAGTACCCGAACACTCCAGCGAATTAGAAGAGAAATATGGAGTGGTCGAAATGACCGCTAGCAGCTCCCCAGGCTTCAGTTACCGACTCCATAAATTTAAGGATTTGGCATGGCCCAGAGGTTTTCAAACTCATTTTTATTTTGTTTGGTTTCAGCAGAGGAATCGTTTGTAAAATGAGAGTTTATGTGAGATCACCATATAAAAGAGAGATGGGAGCTGCTAGCTGGCCCTCCAGGATGCTGGCCTTCCTCCCTCTCAGTCATCCACAGTCCCTGTGCAGGTCTGGGCTCCCTCTGGACCACTGAGGTCATCTTTGGGGAATTATTCTCTCCAGGGCATTCTTAGCTCAGCCAGCCTCTGATGTGAAAAATAAGCCCTTCATTTTCCTGCTGGAGATACTCGGGCTCTCCTAAACGGAGAACCAAGGATGCAGATACAAAGGTCAGGCCTTCCTAGTCTTGTGACTTTGGCCAAGTTTCTACCATTCTCCACGTCTCTCATCTTCTAGTCTTTCAAATAGGGAGAGGGGGGGTCACAAAGAGCCCTGTGGGATATCTGCAAGTGAAATGACCCAGCTGAGATGGCATTTAGGAAGTGCCCATGCCAGCTGGCTGCTCTGTCACTCAGCAGAACTGACCAATGGCAACCTTGTCTCCTTTGGCTCAAAGCAAACACACACTGATTTTCCTCGGGATTCAAGGGGACCCAGTTGTCTATTTTGCAGATGCCGCTGCCTTCCTTTCTTACCTTCCCATATCTGGTTCTTCACCTTTAACCTATCACCCTGAAAGAAAACTTTCCGGTTTATAGCATGCTGGACTGTGATACCATGTTTAGCCTTATGCAGAACAAATTTGCAGTAAATGTTTGCCAGATTAACTCCCTGGATTATGCTTGCGTCTGTATCCATGGCCTTGGGAGAGCAAACTGCATGCGTGTTTTCTCAGTCCCGTATTCCGGAACTTACATAGATGGCATGAAACTGGTCATGGGGATATTTGCAAGAGAGGACAACATAGCTCTAAAAGGAAGAATTCCTTCCATGCC